CCGGATACCGCAAAACCGCAATTTCCATCAGAAGCTCATGATGTTTATCAAGAACTGGAGAGCACGATTATCATTATCTAGGAATTAAGATTGTACATGATAAAATTTTAATTGGCTTGACGTGTGTAGCCGTAATATTTCCCTCTCAACAGGTGTGAATGTTTCATTGTAGAATGCATTCTGCGCCAAGCGTGACGTAGAATTCTAGTTATCTTGGCAGAAGTCCTATATCGAATCCATCGACTTTGTTATTCGTTACCCGCTGCTTATTTATTTAAGTTTATTTAGCTGGGTTCAAGTAAACCATTATTTTATATATGGTTTACGTTATCCTTTGTTCTTTGACAAGATTCCGAAAGTTTGCACTTCCTATGCTAACGCTTCCACGAAAACGATTTATTCAAAAAAATCAAACAAAAGCGCTTGAGCCCAAGCTAATAACAAAATGAGCTTCAATTTCCCTCAAATAGAGTTACGTTTTTCGAATATTTTGAGGAGTGTTGAAAGTTCTAATAGTCGGGGGGAAATGCTTTTTTCAATTTGGTTTTAAGAAGCTATAGAATCCCACACGCATCAAATTTTGATCCATGAAAGTGAAATAGGATATATGCCAATTTAAATATTGCATTATTTTAATGATCCATCATTGCTTCATAAAAACAATGGGGCTCTCTGTAGATCTATTGATTTTATTGAAGATTAAACTGTTACTCTTGAACAAGGCGCATGGTGATCATTTGTTTCTTTACTTTCTGGGGAGTTTATCAAAAGGAATAGTCACATTGCTAACGAAGTAATATTTTTCGTGGTTGAATATTTTAGGTGCAGCTCGTTTCACAGTAGTTCCACCAAGTGTTTTGTATGTGTCTGATGTGAAGCATCAAAAAAATAAAATAATAAATAAATAAATAAATAAACTTCACATACATAAAACAACGAACTATGAAAGTGAAATACATTACCTATTCAAATACTATATCATTATGATCCACTAATGCTTTAATCTTTTGAGACAATGGAGGCATCTCTAGTCCTATGGATTTCACTGATCATCAAAGTGTTACTCGTGAGCAGAACGCAGGGTGAGAATTTGTTTGTCTCTTTTCTCAGACACATCGCTTTATCCTACAGGAATAACCATTCTCGCTACACACCGGTCTTATAATGGCTGAAAAGGGCACGAAAACGAGGTCACCCAGTCATTAGTTCACAATACAATATATAAAAGTACATTAAATGAGTTTATGAGAGAAAAGTATGAGRAATTTAACTCTTGTTTTGACCTGCATTCGCGCTATCCATCTTTATTCTGAATGAGCAGCCTTGCTCAGCTAGCCTTGCAAGATGACTGGGTGACCTCGTTTTTGTGCACTCGTCAGCCATTATCAGAAGGGTGTAT